TTAGGGGTTACTCTAATGATCTCATCTTAACTGGATCATCATCAATTTGCATTTCCAAATAAGGTCACATTCACAGGTACAGAGGGTAAGGACTTTTAAATATTGTCTTTGGGAACACAATTCATTTCATTAACAAGTTGTACAGCTATACCTCAGAACTATCTGCCTAAGGGACCTGAAAGGAAAGCACTGGGTCCTGATCTCCATTGTGAGTGCCCCACAGGGTGTCAACTCTTCCAGACTGCATCTGTGTGAAAACCAAGTGGATGTTGCTGGTGCCCTATACCGTGGTGTCTCTGGGACAGCCAGAGCATGTTGGGCAGCTCTCAGGGTATCTCTGTGGAAAGTTGGCAGAGAAGATGTGAGATGAGGTCAAGAAGTATCTGATATTTGCTCCAGGATGCAATTCCCATTTGTCTCCCCTACTGGACTGGTGCTCCAAGAGGACAAGTTCCTGCTGGTCTTTTCCATTCCTGTATCCCTTTTGTATATCAGTGATTCTGGTCCATTAAGGACTTTAATTAATGGTGAAATGATAAAGGAATGTGTTTCTTTTCTCAATATCTCCAACACAACTGGATTTTGGAAGGCTTGATGTAGTCACAGGAAGCAGCTTAATCGAATTGGGAATTAGGCTTCTTTCCCATCCCCCTTTCACATGTTGTTATACTATTGGGAAGGTTATAAACAAAAATCTGCTCCTCCTCTCCTCACCTTACTACCTCTGCTTCTAACTTCTGAGGGATAGTTTTACAGCAAGGCATTTAGTTCTTCAAATTTTTGATAAATCTCAGCTATCTTTTTGGTGCAACTACCTTCTAATACTTTTTTCTGGTATTGTTTTTTCTTTCTGGTATTTTAATAACCCGATCTCTTTGGAAAGAATTCACAATGAAGCCTCAGTAGAAAAAAACAGTGCAATAACAAGGTTATTGCATATTGCGATTATTATTGTCTTCTTGATTTCAACCTGTCTTACAGAAAAAGAAGAGCAGTCATCTGTAAAATGCTCATTTAAAGGTGATTTCTAAGCATCTGTCTGTTCTGAGCACTGCATTAGGTACTAAGTGGAAGAACATGTTCAACTGAGATCCTAACAAGGTCGTGTCAAAACACTTACCAACTTGGTTCACACTGGGTGGATGGGGACACTGTGACCTGACTCTAGGAGTTGCTCATTAAGAAAAAAAAATAGAGGAAGAAAGCTTTTTTGTTCTGACCCCAAAGCACTTGTCATTTTTAAATGTATTTCCCACTATCTCCTCTATTCTCCATGCCTGCCCTCCACCCTCCCATTACCTACAGCCATCATAATGGCATTGGATTCAGACTGTGTTGTTAAAGGACTACATGGAGAATCAGACTTCAGAGCTGGGGGAGATTAATAAAATATTGACAATAAAAATGAGGATGATGTAACCCTAATGAACTGTTTTCTTTTGAGTCTTTTAATTCTTTCTAATGCACAGACATACATACACACATATTGAGCTATTGATGAGTGTAAACTAGAATTTATTGAGTTATCACTATGTGCTAAGCACTCCTAAATATATCTAATTCTCAGAGTCTCCCTATAGAATGGGCATTATTATTCTCATTTTCAAATGGAGATACTAAGGTTCAGAGAGATTAAATAATTTACCTAATATAACATAGCAATTTGGGGGTTTGAGCCTATCTCTCCTCTGACCCAAATCTTGCCTGTTATATTATCATTTAGTATGTTTTCTTTACCTGGTGTTAAGAATTTTTTGAGCCTTGACCTGGGGATGGTGACCATCTCTTTCTACGATCTGGCCAACAAAAACGGTGTAAGACCCTCCAGACCATCATGCTTTGTGTGTACCTCTTTGTGACCCAGTGACCTTTCTTTATTCCTGCTGTTTGCACCCATGCCTTGTCCTGGGTTCCTGTGTCTTTCCTGGGTAGGGCCTTGGTCCCAAGCAAAGCTCTGTCTGACAAGGGCACTGGAATGCCTAGGATGAGATGATGATGGGTTCTTTTGGGCCAGGGGTGGCCAGGTGGAGAGAAATAGGAAAAATGGTCATTAGAAAGTGAAATTGACAGCATGCATTTGTCTTTGCATGGGTGAGGCAGATGAGGGAAAGAGAGGAGTCAAAGGAGATCTTAAGTCTTTTTGTTGTTTGTGGTGGGGAGAAGCCTGCCCTGGAGAGGAGCAGCCTGATGGGAAAATGTGAAGGGAGCTTGCACCTATACAGACTTCCTACACACCACCCTTTCTGGAGATGTTAAACAACTTCACATAGCTTTCTCAGGGATACATCATCAGTAAACAGTTCACTGTGGTCCTTAGGATACTACTAAACTTTCAGCAATTATAACACAAAAACTAAAGGACAGGTTAGTTCATTTTTCCATTATATAATGTATCTGTGCTTTATGATGCTCATTTTTGATGATGTGCAGCTTTGCTGGCTGTGAATATTGTACATTTATATATTTGTAGTCATTACCTTTAACCACACATTCAAGGCATTCTCTAATAGTTTTTAAAGGGAACTTAGAGACATAATTTAAAAAGAAACTGAGATGCATTTATTTTATCGATTGCTTTCTATATAATTAAATTAATTTTTCTTCAGTTCTGTTGTCTAAGCCAGTAGTTTCCAAACACAACTCATCAAGATCACCAGGGACACTTTTCATAGATAAAGCTTTTTCTCGTGACCTCCTCCGGGAAGCTCTGATTCAATAGGGATGGGCAACTGCATTTTAAGATCATCAAAAAATTCTGATTAGTAATCAGGTTGGAAATCACCCATCTGAGGTATTTTCTCTAGAGTTATAACCCCCAATTTGGTTGCACCAGCATTTTATTTCTTTTAAGAAAATGTGAAAATTTTATAATAGAAGTAGATGATATTTTATTAACAAAAGCCAATATAAAATTACTGAGTACTTGCTATTGCCAGGTGCTGAGATAATGTATTTTTAAAAAAGAATTATCTTACCTAAATTAGTGTAACCCTAGTGATGAATTACAGAGATCCTCACATTCCAAAGCCAAGGAAATAGAAGCTAAAAGTCATTGAAGAAATTATCTGAGTAGTTAGTTCAAGTGGCCAAATGGAAGAATATAGCTGGAACCCAAATACTGTATCTCTGACTCTGAAAGGAAGCATGCCTCTTAAACACCACCCTGGGTTGCCAAGCTTTGGAATTAGTGATGATTTCACAATTTCTCAGTTACTTTTTGTCTTTTTGGAGATGGTTTCCTTTACTACTAGTAGGATGGCAATCAGTTAAGCCTAAAACATCCTATAATTTCTGAATGCTCTGGCAAAGAAAATCTTGGTCTTCCTTTGTCAAAAGAGCTAGAGAAGGCCCTTGCTAGAAAAAAAAAGGGAACAAAAGCAGACAAGAAAAACAAAAAACTTGCTTGCCTGTTTGAACCTGTTAAGTTCTTTTATGCTTATCTCTTTGTATAAGAGCCAGGATTGATTTAAGTTTATTACTTATGAATACAGTCATATCTTTGATTGCGCAGTTAATGTATCCAGTTAACTACACCCATAAGATGCTGCTTCTTTTTGCTCTGTCGTAAATCAATGAGAGACTGTTAATGGTAACACTGGCTTAATCACTCTGATGTCGCTTGTTGCTAATGGGGACTATAAAAATAGATAAAGGTGTGAAGAAATGTACTTTCTGAAACTTGGCCAGGCTTGAAAGGAGCAGAGACATGGGCCTGGAAAGGGAGGCCCATAAAAGCCTTTGTGCTGAGGATGATAGCTCCCTTGTCTTGCTTTCCCGTGTCTGTTTGTGAAGTATTTTCTTTCTTTCCAATAGCCCTATAGGGCAGGTGTTTTGGCCTCTACCCTTTGGGTAAGGAAATCTGGACAGATGCCTGATTCTGAGCTTTCTCTTCCCATCCCTGACCACAGGGACCCATGCTTGTCACTGACCCACTCACACTTGTTCTTTGTAGTCCATGGCTACTTCCCAAAGACCTTTGGAGCATGCGCTTTTCCAGTGTGCTTGATTTTAAGTGAACTAGGCTGAGGTTTGGAGGCAGCTTCCAGCTGTACAAACATACTTCAATCAGTGGGAAAAAGGAAACACAGAGGCTAAATGGTCATTAGGCACCTCAGTGTGAGAATGTGCCATAAATTCTGAGTCTTTTCAGTAGCTCAGCTTTATTAGGGCACGAGCCAGTAATATTTTTCTTCATTTCTCAACTTACTGCTCACACAAGGATTATTGCTATGTTATGTTTAGTTTTCTTGGCATTATGTTTGAATTAAAACAAAGACCAAGTGGGACCTAGAAGGAAACATCTCTCTTTCTGATCTACCTTCACGGCCCAGTTTCCTGTGTTTAATAGACATAGTGCCAAACATAAGAATTAACCCACATGCTGAGGGCCTCTGCAGAACCAGGCCAGGCCTTGTGGAAATGAAGAGAAATATCATTTAAAATGTTTCTTAAATTGGATTGTTCTCCCCCAACCCCAGCAGACCTGTGTAGCAGGCATCCATGTGATTTTCTTGGAACAAGGTTGAGGGGAGGAGGAAAGATATACAAAACAGATATTTAGGTTTCTCTGTCTTATTAAAAAGTGAGTTAATCTCATTACACTGCCATTCCAATTTTATCTGCCTCTCCATAACTAAATTGCAGCTGGAGCTCATGAGTGCTGGGCTCAGGTGGGGCTGAAGGCTCTGTAGAAGGAGAGAATGTTAACAGGAATTTCATGTCAGAATTAGATTCAGATTTGGCAAGAGCTAGGGATGGCTTGAGAGTTCTGTGGGGATTAGAAAAGGGTGGACTGTCAAAGGTCTTGCTTTAGGACTATCTCAGGGAAGAAGATGACATCAGTCTTGTGAGTACCTCTGGTCTCCCACCTGCCTAAGAGGCGAAAAAAGAACTGAAAGGGTGAACCAAGGGCCTTTCTTTTTGCAGGATCCTGGGGGACCAGGCACTTATCTCCTGAAGCCTCAGCAGGACCTTAAACCTGCCTTCTTTTATGTTGCCAGGACTTGGAGGAAATGTCCCCTTCCACCCACTACCAACCAGTTTTGAATCATTAGAGAAAAAGAACCTGCAGCTGGAGAGAAAAAAGTGTCAGAGCCAGGAGAACACAATCAGCTGAAGTCCTGAGTAGAACAAAAAGCCTGACTCATTCTCTGGTAAGAGGGAATTCACTACCTTGAGCTGGGATATAAGTCTTTTCTCATCTTCTAACTTAACTGAAATATTGACTTTTGTTGAGTTTTGAGTCTATTAGCTTTTAAGCTAGAACTTATACCATCAGCTCTTCTGGGTCCCTAGTTTGTTGATCTTGGGACATCACCTCCAAATCATATGAACCAGTTCCTTACAATAAACCTTTTTCTCTCTCTCTCTGTGCATATCCTCCTGCTTCTGTTTCTCAGTGTAGTCCTAGTGCAGATTTACACATGGTAAACAGTGAATGTTTACTAATAATGGTTTCATCGATGATTGTGTTTTCATCTATACCATGATATCTTATGCAGGCATTAAAGAAGCAAAAGCAAAACAAAAAACCCCTATAACTCAGCTTGATTTGGGGAAATTTCCATGAGGGGGGTTCATAGTGAGAAAAGCAAGATGCAGAAAGCTGCTTAAAATATAATCCCGTTTTGTAAAACAAAGAGTTCCACGTCTCTTAAACATATGTGTACATGTTTATCTGAGTGTGTGTGCTTATATTATTATATGAAAGGATACATGCTATGTAGTTATCAGAAGGTTCCTATCTGGAGAAAGAAGCCATAATGTGTGTGGAGCCATAGGAAGGCCAGAGCATGGAAGCACATTCAACCACTACATTTGTACATATAGTAACAAATGTGCATATATGTGTTAGGAAATATAAAAATAAACAATTTTAGAAAGAGGAAGAAGAAACAGCTGGCAGATGAGGCTGCTAAATGCTCTGCGTGTCTAGCATAACTGGAAGACCGAATTGCCATTACTCAGGGTGACAACTCCATTCCGTCACTTGTCCAGCACCATCACAGAAGTCACTTGCCCCAAGCCATAAGTTGCTTTGGGGTCAGATTTTAAAATTAAGGATAGAATTGTATATGCTAGCTGTCAGCAGGCCAGATTGGCATTCCTGAGGACTCTCTCTTGTATTTCAAATTAAGGTACTAAAAGAATGGGTCTGAAAATAGTGTATAAGAAAACTACAAAGGACTAGAAAGTCCCTCTTATTCCATGCCCTACACTAGAATACACCCTCCTGAGTTGTTCCAGTATTAATATTAAATTTCATTTAAAGGAGCTTTAACATTAAAACTTCCTGCTCGAATGCCATAGAATTCTTATATAAATTCCAAGGGTGTGTGTGTGTGTGTGTGTGTGAATTAAGGGGAACCTGGTGTCTCTCTTGTATCTTTATGACTTTGGAGTTCCAGAGCAGATTTCATTTTATATGAGAAAAGAAAAAAAAAGGAAATCCATCTCTTTGTCTCTGTTCTTCTTGCTGTTTATTGCTGCTCACTAGTGTGAAAATGTTTCCTCAGTTAGTCAGGAGGTGGGGCACAGCTGCCTTTCCAGTAATGTGTGCCAGGAGTACTCACAGGGATGGTAGGGGGAAGTCCTGAAGAAAGGTCAAGTGGCTTCCATTCCATTGATAGTGAATTGGCCTAACCTTCTGTAGAGCATGGATCAGTTTGCCAGAGTCTGAGATGGGAACGTTTACAGCTTCAGACTCTGGAGATAAGGTAGTCTCAGGGAGATGTCTTAATGTACATCACCTAGACACCTCCCTGCAGGTGTTTGGTGCACCCCATCTGCTTGAGAAGGGCACTGCCTTCCCTCAAGGTGCATTTTTTGCTTGACTTCTGCCAAGTACCACTTCAGCCTGTTATGGCTGGATTTTCTCCCCCATTAGTGATCTTGTTCTGAAGATGATTTATGAAAACTTAGAAGGGTTTTTTTCTCTAAAATCCTTCCGTTCAAGATAAATTGCATCACTATTCTCTTTCTTCCTTCTTTGCCTTGCAAGTCTGTGTTCTAGCCTCCTCCCCTGACCCTACACTGCAATGTCTGACATTGCTAGACATGGCATTTATTTCAGTCTCTATGAGTTGTTTGCTTTTATATGACTAACTGACATCTCAGACTGACTCCTGGAGACAAAATAAATTTGTTCATTCCTTGAGTGTTTTTAATTAGCTTTTGAAAGAATATTTTGACCAAAGCCAACTTGGGCTTTGGATACTAAAAAAAAAAAAATAAAAGGAAGCTGTGCTGGGAATTGAACCTGGGGCCTTGCATATGCTTGGCAAGCATTCTGCCACTGAGCCACATCCCAAGCCCATGTTGTAAATTTTATCTGAAGAAATACCAACACTGGTTGGTTCCAGCTTGGATAAAAGGAGTAAGAGCAAGAAAGAGCACATGAATACATAGAGGACAAATTATGGTAGGTCTAGACCTCAAGTATCTAATTTTTCAGGCTACAAATTGGGACACAAATTTTGGCAAATATGTTTGTAATAGTAAAAATAAGAAAGCAGACTGTTTATGTTTTGGCTTTTCCAGAATTTAGAAGAAGGCAATAAGTATGCCATCTAGGTGTGTAGAACAAGGAAGCAGAGAGAACCAGGCCATATAAATCTCAAGGGAAATAAAATGTCAGTGTCATTCTACCTCTGAAACCCTATTGGTCCTAGAGGATTACAGAGCTAAGAGCCTCTTTCTGTTGAGTAATTATTTAGGGGAGTCATTTCACACAGCCTATTCTCTCTCCTTCACAAGTAAATGATTAGAAATTGAAATGGAATGATTTCTGGTCAGTTTTATGGTCTGGCCTCCAGATTGCTAATGTTTGAAGGAACCTGGGAAAGAGGTAATTAAAGACATTTGCTGTAGGTTGCTGTGCCAAGAGTTGCTTCTGGGCACCTTCTGCACTTGAAAATGAAATTGGAGTTTTAAAAACACAATCAACATTTCCTTTTATTTTCTAGCTTCTGCCCAAACCCCTGTGTGTCTGTCTTTAGACTCTAGAAAATGAAAATAGACTTCTTGATTACTCATGTCCCCAAGATGTTGTTCATGTTTCTGCTAAGAGGAATGTCAATTGCTCACACAGAATAGAAATGTGAGCCATGAGGATTTCTCAGGACAGGGCCAAATTGTTGTTCATGAAAGATTTCTCAAAATTACTCATAATGGACTGGAAAAAAATCTAATTTGAATTTGGAATATGTGAAGGAATTGTTTTAATAGATTGAATTCCAATTTGTATGGTGAAAATTTTTATTGAGTTTGATTCTTTTCAAAAATTGGGAGTAAATCATGCCAGGCTTGGGTGTATAGTTCATGGTTAAAAAATAGCATTATCCTCTTACTACCTCTAATGAGGAGGCGTTTCATTAACATCATGGTGTCCTGGAGCTGGAAGTGTCTTAGCAATCCTATTGTTTATCAACTTCATTTTGTAGGCAAGACATATACCAAATGTACAGAAGGGTTGTGCTGGCCTCAGGTCTCAGTTAGTTTAAATTTCAGCCAGATTGGCACCTGGCTTTCCTTGAAGGTTGTTCTCTTTCCACTTCTCTGTACTGCACTCGCAGCACACTGGCCAACCCTTTCCTTACATCAAAGGCAATGGCTTTCAGCAGTCAGAGGGTACTGTGGCTCTGCTCCCCCGGTGCAGCCTTCTAAGTGCTTCATGGCTTGATCTTCAAGAACATCATCTCTGTTTATGTTTCTTTGTCATAAAAAATATGACTTACATATGTCAACTAAATGAGGCACAGACTGAACTAGAACTATAGAAAACTGTTGTTGGTGGGAACTTAGGGATCACGTTCAACTCAGTAGTCTCACTAAAAGTAGGGTAGTTTTCCTTCTTCTTCTGGAGGAAGACTTGCCTGGGGCAGGCATAATGGAGTATTTTTTCATGGTAAATTGACCCATGAGTCCAAGCCAGTAGAGTATTTCTTTGGAAAAAGGACCAGAAATGAACCAAATGGGAACACAAATATTTTTCTTCACCTTCTTGAATGGCTTTAGGAAACATTGAGCTGAAATCTCAACATGGAAGCATTTTGTGTATGGCTTTCCTTCAGGAGCTGGGTTGTTTCTTGCTAGATCTTTTTTGTATGATGATATGAGGTTCAGTATGTGGGTTTGGGGTAGAAATTAGTCTTTGAATCCTCTGCTCACTCTTCCCTTTGGGCTTCTTTCTGGGAATCCATACAAAGAACAAGTACCACATAGGATAACCATATATTTTTTCTTTCAATTAATTAGCTTTTCTTGTGACCTCTTAATAAGAGTATTTTGAAGTGAGAGGAGAAAAAACATTGGAGTATTTTGCCAACTGTATAGGATAGAGTAGACGTAACATAATTTCCAATTCAAAAACCAAAACCGGTAAGCAGGCTCTTGCAACAGAATGTAATCCACAGTACCATAAAGCAATATTTTTTTAAGTTCTTGGTTTTAACAGTCAAGACTCCTGAAGACAGCATTAGGAAGCTTCTTGGTACAATTTGAATATATAATAATAATTTTCTAGAAAACTAGTTTTTATAGACATAACAAAGATAAACATAGTAAATTCCATATGAATGAAGTCTGAATGCATGAGATTTTACTTTAGTGAGTATTATCCATTAGACTTCATTTCATATGAGATTTTGAGTTAAGTTTAAAAGCAAAGCAAATTTAGAATCTATCTCTGAAGTTTGTATGGGAAATTGAAATTCTGAGAGGAAACTCTAAATTGTCTATATATAATTTCTAATTTATGTTGTGCTATTTCAGTGTAAGGATAATGACATGAAGTAGAAATTGTCCTTTAGTAGACAGATGAAGGTAATTACAGTGATTATAAGAGATGCTGGAAAATATTTCAATAAATTGACTAATTTAGTTCACATTAGAGAAACTATTAAAATGAAAGCATTAAATTATAAGTGTGAAATAATTTATTAAAAATCACATAGCACGAAATCTTTTGAATTGGTAATTTTATAGAAGCCATCATCCATCTGTACTGGCCCCAATTTGTGATACATGTTTAGAAATCAATCTTATAAAAGAAAGAGCCTAACTCCTCTTCCTTCCTTCCTTCCTTCCTTCCTTCCTTCCTCCCTCCCTTCCATTTTCTTCAGCTCTTTAAAACTTCATTTCTTTCTCCTTGGGTATTTACCCCTGAGGAGTTGTATGTTCAAAATCCTTTGTCTTTTCAGGGGTAGAAATTCTCAAAATTTGCCATGTGGCAAAAGTCTAGAGGTTGGGAAGGAAGAAAATGTTCACATTGTCAAAGCATTTTGGTTCATAATTCTTCTCGTGCTACTCTGCTTCCTGGATATAAATGGCATTGCAGAGCTTCAGTAGATCAGAGAGACAACACATATCAGACCTAGGGTTATCTTGTCTCCTTTGCTGGCTACTTACAACTTGCAGAATTTCCCTGTGTCTGAATCTTTTAGGGAAGTTCTCTTCTTGAAGTTGACCTGGTCCTAAATTCATCTGGAGAGCTCCACCTACTCAGCCTTTGCATCTCTTCCAACCTCCTTCTCAGAATTGATGCTACTTTTCAGCAATCCTTGCAGTTGCTTTTTATAAAAATATTCTTAGCAAAACCAAATCCTAATTATCCCTTCTGAAGCAGATGGCCTAGTGTCACCTGCTTCCCCTCCCCTTATCCAAAATAAATTTTCCTCTGAACCAAACTCCCTTGATTTTGCATTGGCATTTTGTAGCATTGTACAAATTATGCCATACTTCAATCATACCTAATTACAATCTCTGCCAGCAGGACTTGCCACTCAGAATGGAAATGGGAGAACCGGAATGGAAATGGGAAAGACTCAGAAGAAACCAGAGAAGAATCACCCATCTGAAAAGTGAATCAAGTAATTGTAGTTAATGATCTTCTGTTAGGAAATACTGGGAACCCAGATGATCATCGAAAGGTTTTATTTTGACTGGGTTGTTTAGGCATTACTGTGTGCTTCTATGTGGCTGGACCAACTCTCTACTTCTGTGAAAAGCCTCTTGGCAATAAGAATATTAGGTCTGTGGAGGTGGCTTAGAAAGGCCACAGTGGACATCTTGTACAACCTCCTCTTTTAGTGGAGGCAGCCTAGGATTTAATTCCAAAGAATACCCCATATTTGAGTTTTTGCATCTCTTTATTGAAAAACTTTTCAACTTTCAGGTTGCTTTGCTTTTATTTCTTAGTGGTTTTGAGCTATTTTCTTTGCATTAATTTGCACAATGCTCAGGAGAAGTAAAATAATTTTTTTTTTCTGGTACCCGGGATCCAACTCGGGTCCTTGCCTTGCGAGGCAGGTGGCGGAACCACTGAGCTAAATCCCCAGCTAAAATAATTTTTAAGATGGACTCGGGTTAAGTATAATTAGGTATTAAGTCTTGCAGAGCAAATTTTAAAGAATTTTTAATTTAACCTATTGATCCTAAGTTCCAGCAACCGAGGAGCCCACAGTTGATAAGGGAGAGTGGGTACATTCATGAACTTCTGGAAATTCCTGATGTGCTATGCCAATGATACTTTTGTTGTTACTCCTGTGGGCCTTGGGAGGCAGTCTGGAAATTAAATGAATATACTTCATGTGCCATTTAGTAATACCACACTCATATCTTATCCATTTGCACATGTTGTATCCTATTCCTGAAATGTCCCCCCTCCTGTTTTGTTTGTTTTCTTCAAGTGGTCAGTTTTCTTTTTAAATTTTTATTTTTCACTTTTTATTTTTTATTAGTATATGTTTGCAGTGCATATTCCCCCCCATTAAGTTTATTGGTACATTTTAGGTGTAAAATACATTTACATACATCATTGGGATCTTGTACTATTACATAAGTATCTTGGTTCTTATTTTTTCCCCTTCCCCTACCCTCTCTTCACCCCCTCCACCCTTCCCTATTTGCAAAGATTTTGTTTCCATTTGTTTCCTTTTCTCAGATTTTTTCCTTTCCCCTCTTTCCTTTCCCCT